ACATTTTCACCCAATTACTCTCAACTGCTTATAACATTAATATAAATGAAATACATTTCATATTACAATACCTATGAAATAATTTCATTTATTTTCTATCATACATACCAATTTTGCAATATAATTTCGATGTTCGTTATAACTCTGTTAAATAATTAATTACAAAATAAATTCGCGTTTACCGTTAACTATCCTAGCTCGTGGACAATCAATGAACTTAGAGTTCATCGACTGTGCACATGTTACACGAGCACATTTAATCGAATGTCCGAGCAGTTTATTAAACTAATTGATGAACCTAGTAACAATTCGCACTTTTACTATAATATTAAATAATAAAAACGAATTGAAATAAAAATAATACTTAAAATGCAATGCCTTTCTTTGCAATATATTTTTATTTAATTTACATTGAATTATATCAAACATTTCAAAAAGACTAAATCGCGATAGTGCGAAGTGTTAAACCTGTTATACTTAAAACTAAGTATCAAATTCATCAAAGATTTTGCGAATTTAAGATAGAATCGATAAATAAATCTTTCAAATGGTTGCAAATATCTTTGAATCATGATACATATTAAAAATGATAGAATTGTCACAAAATAAATTTACTAAGTAAGCATGTTAGGAAATAAAAAGATACAATTTTGTGACAATTCTATATTAAAAAAAAACCCGGAGATGGGACTTGCACTATCAAAGTGCAAGTTTACCATGTGCTTTTCCGAGGTCCTACCTACTTAAAATTAAAGTTTTACATTCACTCAGAAAAAAACACATACAAACCCACCCACTCACTCCACGGTTCTCACACACTCCACCAGGGTGCAAAAGCCTACACTAGAGAGTATGCCCCGGGGCACCTCCGTCACCCTAGTTCAACCGCGTATTTCTAAACTTATATTCTAAAAGGTTACGTACCAGTTGCTGTAATCGTCTGTCAAGGCTAGTGATTATTGCAAGTAAAACTACTGCAAAAATACAAGTATATTCTAGTATATATGCATACTAGTTATATACGTGTATGTTTCCACAAATACATGTGGGTAACTCTACTATGCAAAACGATTATTAAAAGAAAAATTCGTATCTTACGCGTGACTCTACTAGTTATTTTTATTTTAATAACTATTCAAAAATGCGAGGTATTACACGTATCGCGAACGATGTACAATGCACCACCTACTACGCACACACAGGTGCACTGTGCACCGTGCAATCACTAGCACAATGACAGCCGCCAAAGGAAAACTTAAAAACTAATAACCCATGCAATCTTTTTCTCACCCATACGTGTAATACCTGGGTAACACGCATAGATGAGAACGAAGCGTGCATAGGGGGGAGAAAAGGGGGTATTAGTATATTAGTTGCTGAAAATCCTAATCTAAAAAATTGATTAATACAATTAAATATTCTCTAATAAATCTAAGCGGGCTATGACTCTACAAGTCTTTAAGACTTTCAAAAAAAAGATATTAGATATAAAAAATTGAAAGTAATTAAAAATCCTCGGACGACTCTTTTAATTAAGTTGGCTGTTCTAATGAAAGAACTGGGCTTTTTTTAGCCGCCACTTAATTGCCAGAGTCTATCCGTTCGCGAAAGGGGTTTGTCTTCTTGCTCATTTATTTATAATACCGAAATTAATCGCGATTAAATAAACTAAGTACGAAGCAATGCATGTAAGACATTTATTACATGCTTTATTGGTACGAAATCGAGTAAATTAATACTCGATTTCACCACTACTAAAACGCGAATCAAACACGTAATGAAAAATAAAAGTGCATTTAAGTAATTTGCACTGTAAATTAAAATGAATTTAACCGATAAGACAAGAAGACCTATCCTAAACTAATGAAACATACATACAATGAAATATACAGTTTCATGAGCCATTCCAAAAAAGGAATAATACTTTTTTGAAATAAACTCATGTGCTCGTCAATAATTTTTTTGGTAAAAATTACAACCAGTAGCTCGTGCCGATTCGGACCTTTCATCCTCGGCATGATTGAGCACCGGAGGGACTTGAAATTYTTCACTCACTCATTACCAATGTTATATAACATAGATGTGACATTTTATTAGAATAAAATGTCATATGTATGATATATGAACAGTTGGCATTAGAAGTTCTGCGATGGCTCCAAAACACTCCTACTTCGTAGAAAATGGTCCCAGCTGCATCCCTTGTCCACCAGGTCCATCGGAGAATTTCTTGATGCACTTTTCCTTGCACTCACTCACTCACTCACTCACTCGCGTGACTCTAATAACGCGGT